AGACCTGAATCAGTTCAAAGAAGACTTTGTCACACCAGTTTTCTTGCCACACTCTCATAGTTACATAGAAGGTTGCACTGTATATACAGTACAGTATGTCCAATCGGTGAGTGAGAGGAGCAAACGAGATGAAGATGAGGGAGATGTGGACAGAAACGGCTCGGGGGAATCTGAGGAGGACACAATGTCAAGGAGAGAGAAAGAGAAAGAAAGAAGCAGAACGAGAGAGAAGTGTCTAGTTTCAGATTTACAGCGGTGGTGGGAGAGATTTGGCTGCGCTCTTACAGCACACCGAGGACAGAGCCAGATGAGGAGTAGGAAGACAGATTTACATGGTGAGAACAGCTCTGGCTGTTCTGGAGCGGCACACTAAACACATACTGTTCTCCAGTGATCTCTTTATTTAAAAAACAAAAATACCAAATGACAACTGCTTGTCGGAAAACATGGTACTTACATCTTAAAAATCAACACTCTTTTGCAACAATCAATCAGCATGTAAATTTAGTGAAACACACCCAACACACAAGACTGTGAGTCCGTTCTTCCCAAGCCGCCTACTCAAATTTTATTGTGGTATTATGATGATTTATGGATCCAACATCCAACAGGGATTCAGTGTAAAGATAGTCTCTGCTATGTGCTGTAAGATAATGTATTTTCAGTTTATTAACTAAAGTAATAAGCTGCATTTGTATACAAAAAATGTATATAATAACCTGTCTTGGCCAAAAATGTGTGGCATTTATTAGCTTCCAAAAATGACAATGTCGGTTGGTCCACCATTTTGGTCCAAATTTGATCATCAAAAATGATTGGATAGCTTGCCATGAACGTTAGTAAACAAGTCGCATGGTGTTTTCCATCATGATACGTCTTGATTATTAGTATTTGCAGCTTGAATAACCCTCACGCTGGTTGGCTGAGAAGCAATTATCCCATCTTGGTGGAACAAACTCGCTCTACATTGAGGAGGAGGACAGCCACATAGGTTGTTTATTAACACATAAATTAACGCCTCTACCACTAGCGTAAGATCTACACAAAAACTCAACCCTGACCTCAAAATCCAATATGGCTGCCTCACTATCAACAGCCCCTTTTAAATAGGAATTGTGCAAATTTTTAGGAAATTCTTTCAGCATTGACAGTATAAAAGCAAAATCGGAGAGTGCCACAAAATGCCGCCTGTGTGCCTACTTTTGTTCATACAGAATGCGCCTTTTTCGGGGCAATGGGAGGCCTGAACAAGTAACAAAACATGTAGCTCAGCGTGTGACATTAAAGTGACGTGGGAGGGAAGCCGCGGCTGGTCAGTCCTTCGGTGATTCTCTCATAAGTCGGCCCGTCCTTCACCGTCCTCGTCATCTGACGGTTAATGGCCTCTTCGTTTGCGAGAACAAGGAGGGCACGCAATTCCTTGTCTCCCCAGTTGCTCATCTTTCCAGTGTCTGTCAGGTTTGCGTTTCCCTCTTGCTACTAGCTGCTCATTCCTGCTATCAGCTGTTTCCTGTTAGTCCACCGCCAGTGGGTCGCATGTGCGGCGTCATCAACAGCTCCTCCCACAAGTCTTCAACAGTCCCTCCCGTGGTGGAAGGGTGCCTTGTTCTTTTTAAACCAAAAAAGTTCCGGCAATCAACTCTACTGTGTGTGTATTTGCAAAACGCATTATTATGTATGTCAGATTGAGACTCCTTGAGCAAGACTTACTCACAATAACAAGCACACCATAGAAAGGAAAGGTAGGGGAAAACTTTTTACTTCTCTGTAAGGTCTTCTCTCTAATGTTGTTAGACACTTGTGAAACAATCTGGGCTTGTCATTGGCACATAGAGGCACTCTTAATGGACATAAATTGAGGGTGCACAGTTGCCCATAGGGATTGTATTGCAGTAATCACCGTATTCGCCGCCGTGTCTTGCTCAATACTGGACCAATTTCAAAAACTGTTGTCTCCATTTGTCACTTAGGCCCCAAAACATGGGAAAACAGGGTCCAGGTTGAAAAATGCCAAAGTTACCCTTTAACTGAATTGACCATCCAGACTTCTTAACAAAATTTTGGTTTCACACTGAGGTGGTTTCTATCAGACCTCCACTGTTTACTTCCACAAACATTTAGTCACACCACAAACTATCATTAATTTCCCTCTGTGTAACCAATAATAACAGAGCAGGGCAGGAAATGGGCCATTATGAGTCTCTGTGTGAAGGTCTGTCCCGTGTGTTTCCACTCTGACAACACTGGGATAAACCCCTGTAGGTGTGTGTGTGTGTGTGTGTGTGTGTGTGTGTGTTTCTCTGTGTGTGTTTGTGTGCCTCTTTTGGGGTTTTACTCCTTATTTAAGACCAATATTTACCCAGCAGCCCCAGGGTGAGATTACCTCATATTCTCCCGCCCAGCTGTGCTTTCTCAGTGTTTCCACGACAACCGGTGGAATGTCCCATCATGTTTATCTGCCTGTCGGGAAAACAGAGAGCGAAAGGAAGAGGAGGCAGCGGAGGGAGATGGAGAAGGTACACTTAGGTTGGAGTGTGTTTACAAGACGGACACTTGTGCGCTCACACTCTCGTGTATATGGAACAAGCACTCAGGAACGCATACTGTTGGTATGTAACTGATGTGACTGGTGTCAGAGCATGTTCACACTGTCAAAATGCTGCTGAAAGGTGATCAATACTTCACCTGGGAACTGCCACACATTTAAGAAGCTAAAAACAGCCCTGCAAAGTTTCTCATGTCTTGACCATTTTCATTCAGTGGGCATTTTTTTTAAACTTTTGATTTATGACGACTAGGAACTTGCAGTAATACTTGACATTACCATTTCAAAGCAGAATAAAATCACATAATTAATGGTTTATAACATACCATAACACTGCTGTAACCAAATATAAGGGTAGTTAATGTTTTTTAAAGTATGTATCTGCAATTAAAGCAAGTTTTTTACAACAGGAATGGTGCCATAATGCCATTAAGTGCACGTGGCAAAAAGAGACTGACCAGTGTCTGGAATATGATAGGAAGTCGTTAATAAAGCGGTCAAACATTATACTAGGCAACTAAAGCAACAACTAATGAAGCTCTAGTATAAGGTCGGTCAGGAAGACGATACTTTTCATGCTCAGGCTGCTTTCTTTCTCACCCTGTCACTCCTTGCATGCATGCTCACTCAATATCTCTGTGTCTGTCAATTGAGTCATCAGCTGATTGACAGTCAACCAATAACAAACCATCTCTGTCAGCCTATCATCTCACTACTCCTCATTTCTTTTTCTGCCGTAGTCCTTTCTTGCTGCAGTCATGCACGCCCTCCACCTCCCCGTCACCACGGATTCATCAGCCTCATCTGCCTCAGCAGTCAGCATCCTCAGAGTCATCAGCCACCACCACCACCAGTGTCCTATTATCGATGTATAATTTATGCATGAGGGTGATTCATCATCATTAACTCACTTTAATAAAGATAGCAACATGCATGCCACTTCAGCATTGAAGCACGGCTGCACAAAACCATATACTTCACTCGCTTTGAATGACAGGCTGTTTCCATTGTCCCACTCAGTCTGCCATTATTAATTTCTCTGTCTTATAGTCAACATACATATGTCAAAACGAAAACAAGGAAGCTTAAAGATTTAGTGCTCACACATTTGTGTGCTTATAGGCTGTTTTGCTTTTTAACCTATATGTGTCTTATTTGGGTTGTTAAACCATACAAATACAGTACATCACTTTGCTGAGTATCCTGTGCCCTGCTGCAGCTGACCGTATTGTATCATACTGTGATGTTTGGTTCCATTTTTACAGTATTAATATGATCAGTTACCTAGTTAGTCCAGCTCTGTGAAGCTGCAAGAATTTTCCATGCCTCTGGAACGATTCGTCATTGCGAGTGGGCTTTAAAACCACCAGCACTAGCTGAATTCAGAAACTTTCAGAACAGCACAGCCTCTCCTCCTTAAACCACAATAGTTGAGTTGCCCTTGAGTAAGTTATTTAACCCCAAGAGACTCAAAGTCTGGAAACTGTTTTTGTTCTGAACAGAACCTGTGTTTATGTATGAAATCCAACCTTCCGTGCTGCCTATTCAGTTATTAGGCAAATCAGTGTTTGTGTTCTTAGTCAAAATGCCTGATTTAAGTATAACAAAATTAAATTTGAAAAACTTTTTTGGGTCAAACAGAAAGGAAATTCTATTTGACAAGGTAAATGTGGATTCCACCCCCACATAACCTCAACAGCAATGTGCAACATTTCAAATAAGCTGGACCAACTCTGTAAATGTCTCCCTGCAGGTCAGCTGCTCATGATGGACTCAACATATTACTTTCACCCAAAACTGCCTCATACACACATGTAGCATGTGAAGTTGTGGGGTGATCATGTATCAATTTTTGTCATTTTTAGTTTCCAGAGAGCGTGAACGATGACTGGGTTCATACAGTAATCTCAGTAAAGCTTAACCCAAAACACAGGTCAGACTTAAATGATGTGACTCAACTCTTTCTCAGCATCTTAGTCATCACCACTATCATCATCATCATCACCATCAACAACAATAATAATAGGTTTGGTCTTACTAACATAGAGTATGTTAAAGTGTCCAGACACTTTCTCCAGAGCCACAAAGCCCAGTTACACTGGTGACTCTCAGCCGTCCCTGCAGTGTGGACTCTGTCCTGCCATGGGAACGCACAGTTATTTGCTTTAATTTGCAACAGAAAAGCGCGTGGTGTATAGAGACTGTTAGGGAATGTTCTATTTGGTCTTCTCTCGGCCTGTTTAAGTGATAAAAGTGTCATTATTTAGCCTCTGAAGCAGAGGGGAGAGTGCAAACAAGACTGTATGACCCTCTGTCAAGAGCCTCCGTTCTTCAGAAGCTCATTAAGGGCCTCCAGGAGGACAGCGCATCAATTGGCAGGGCCCTCCAGCTTCCTCTCGGCCTTTTTAAGCCTCCCTCCGCGGATTTAACCCACTCACCGGCCGACTAACGTTAGAAATGGACTCAATTTAGAGCAAGAAGGGACATGAAAGATGTCGCGCTGTGAGGAGGCATAGGCGACTTATTAAAACAGCAGGAAGGACCCTTGGACTTGAGCCAAATAGGATCTCACCCTGTCGTGCTCCGACCGGATTTTGGAGAAGTTTGGATTTACCTGTTGAGATGCTCTCCTGCTTTGGTCTCTGTGTCCGGTGACTGATTTCTACCAGTCCTGAAAGCTGTGTGTGTGATTGGTGTCAGACATATAAAAGTGACATATTCTCTGAGAGGGTGCAGTTTGGGACCGAATGTTGAGATGCAAGTAGACTCCAACTTACTACATTTTTTCAATGACATGAACCAGATGGAGTTTCCGCAAAAGTGCACTTTGGGACCGAATCAGCAGGTGGATGATGACGCATCCAGCCCGAGCGACCAGACGCGGCTGAGCGACTCGCCCTGGAGCGACCTGGAAAGCGGCGAGCGCACCGCGGAGCTCTGCACCGAGCATCTGGTGATGGGCGCACCGAGGTACTACAGCCGCGGGGCGCACGGGCATCACGGCAGGGCCAAACGGAGGAGGATCATCACCGTGGTCCAGCGGCAGGCGGCCAATGTGCGGGAAAGGAAGCGGATGTTTAGCCTGAATGAGGCGTTTGATGAACTGAGGAGGAAAGTTCCCACATTCGCCTACGAGAAGAGACTGTCCCGCATCGACACGCTGCGTCTGGCCATCGTCTACATCTCATTTATGACGGACCTGCTGGAGAACACCTGATTTAAAGGAGCCCAATGTGAACTTTATTCCTTGGAGACTTTGGGTTTGATATGAAATGGCTGAACTGGTGAATTTATATTCATGTTTCTGCAAACCGGGGGTCAGTTCCTGAAATATTAGAACTATACCACAACAAATATTTAAAAACTATACAGACATTTTTACATTTCAATAACTCATCTCTCAGAAAAGTAAAGCGGTGACATCATGATTTAATTTTGCCAATGACCTGCTAAATTATTGGACGTGACCTAAACCAGCCGAGAGCAACTCCTCCAAATATTTCTCTTAATATATGTGACTTTTTGCTGCTTTTAAATAAATCTATATGCTATAATAATTTGTGTTCTTCGCTGCGCACTAAAGAAAACAACATAAGATGTCATTTATAATTTGGCCAGACTGTAATGTGCACAATCAATACTCCTAAATGCATTTGTTTCGTATTAGAAGGATCCGTCCAGACTGAAACAGTAATAATATAATTTTCAATATAAGCTATACATTGTAGGTAGGTTTCTTTGGACATGGGCGGATTATGAGACAGCACCCCTGTGAGCACAGATATGCAAAAGGCCCCACCACCTCTCCTACATTGGGCTCAACCAATTATTATCGAAATCGCAATATCCAAATTTCAGGAGCTGCTGTTTTTTGATAAATATAAAAAATGAGTCACACCAAACCATTACAAGAAGCACTGTGGTCTTACAGAGATGCTCCGGCCTAAAAATCAGATGTCCAAATGGTACAGACCCCAGCAAAAAATACGTCATACTTATTTGTTTACTTTTTCTGTCAATATGAAATGCAAAACTTACAATTCCCACTAAACTGTGACTCATATTGTAATCACAACATCTGTCAAGATAATCGCAGTATGATATTTATTTATGGTATAGTTCCTTCGCGTCTCCTTTCCTGCATCCTGCATCTCCTTGTGGTCACTTGGGGTCTCTTCCTGCTCGGTAGGTGTTAATTTGAGTGACATTTTGCTGGGTCTGTGCCTGACAGGACTGCTCAGTGATCCATCCATGTCTGTGCAACGCTGACGCGTCAGGTGTGTTATTTCAGCACTTTGGAGAGCGGCACAGCCTCACCTGGTCTGATTTTGAGCAGGTGTGGCTGAGGACAAGGATTTAGATTTAGGCTTTCCTCAAAAGAAAAAAAAAACGAACAAACGATAGAAAGATTTAAAATCCTTATCAAGTATGTCACGTGCAAATGTGTTAAGATTCAGGGGATTTGAATCACAAATCACTGCGTGACGCTGGATGTTATCTTTAACACAGAGGTGTAAATTGAGTCAGCTCAGGGGGATCCAGGCCCGACAGGCGCTTGTGGCGGCTTCTCCTCATAAAAAGGGACCAGTGTGTCATCCTCCCTCATCAGAGGTGAGGCCTCCCTGTGGATAACTCACACCACAGACCACCTTCAGAAGTTGCCAGATCCAGTTTCAGCCACATGTAGAGGTATTCATGCTGGATCTTGATATTATATCGTGGCAGGCCCCAGAGCTGGGTGGTCATGTGTGCGTGTTTAGTATCTCCATCTCTCTTTCTCTCTCTCCTCACAGTCCATCTTTATCACCTCCCGTGTTTGCATTCAGCCCCAGCCGTACACCGCCTTTGGCGACCCCGCTGTGCGCACGGATCCGCCCTGAGAGCTCCCTGGGCCGGGTCGTCTTTTAAACCTGAGCCGCGGTGTCCACATCCCTGCGGGAGGCAGACCCATTTAAGCGCATACCTCAACGCGGGGCCGCTGACGGGAAAATAAACACCTCGGTGTGCTTACGAGCAGTGACCTCCTGCTGCGACAACCTCCTGTGTTTCAGTAGGTCTGATATTTTTCACCGCCACCACTGCTCCCATCTCAGGCGCTGTCTAGACCTGTACAGGGAGAGCTGAGGCCTGCAACAGACAGCAGGCATGTGCAGGAATTTATGTCATCTTCTCATTGTTTTTCATTTATTTGCAAAAGGATATAAATACAAGCAAATCCATGTTGAAGTACAGCAACTTTTAAAAAAGGACTTGGGAATTAGTTTATTCTACTGGCTTTAAAAATAGATACAAATTGCTTTGTTAAATTTACAATAAATCCAAACATTATGCATCAGAGGTAGAAATACTTTGGGGTGGGGAAGGGAGAAAGAATTCATTCCTAAGAGAGGGACCGTTCCTCCTGTCCAAATCTACACCTATAATTCAGTAACACCGCGCCCCTTGTACACCCCCTTTCGCAATCTTAAGGAGTCTTAAACACCATTTCTGATATTATAGCTAGAGCTCTCCTTCCCCTGCAGTATTATGTTACACCCCTCCTCACCCAATCACAGCGCTCCCCAAAATCCTCCTGCCCGCTCCCCGCTATAAGAGCCCCGCTCGTCCCAGTCTGGCATACACCTCTCCCTCTCCGTTGCGCACGAGATTTACTGTAATACCAGCCCACCCCCTTACTGCAGGCCACGCTTCTTATTACCTGTCGTGTTTGTTGATGTTGTAGCCAGTTCAGTGGATTAGGGTCAGGGGTTATTACGCTCCTACAGACCACAGAAAAGGTTTTGGAAAAGACGATGCGGGAAGAGGACTCCTCCCCAATGGACAGCGCGGGGAACAGCGAGGAGGAGACAGACCGTCAGCTGCCGCGGAGAGGTGCGAGAAAGCGGCGGGCGACAAGGAGGCGCATGGATGAGGAGGAGGAGGAAGGTGACATGGAGAGTCCGAGCCCCGGGAAGAAGAAATGCAGAAAGAGCTGCGACGGAGGAGGCGGCAGCGCAGGAAGCTGCGACAGCGAAGCAAGCAGCAGCCCCGCGCGCTCCTTCGATGACCTGCAGACACAGCGCGTGATGGCCAACATCAGAGAGCGGCAACGGACGCAGTCCCTCAATGAGGCATTCACGTCGTTACGTAAGATCATTCCCACCCTCCCGTCGGACAAACTGAGCAAGATCCAGACGCTGAAGCTGGCGGCCCGGTACATCGACTTTCTGTGCCAAGTTCTGCAGAGCGACGAGCTCGACGCGCGAGGGACCAGCTGCAGCTACGTGGCGCACGAGCGCCTCAGCTACGCGTTCTCGGTCTGGAGGATGGGGGGCTCGTGGTCACTGTCTACTACATCCCACTAGCAGGGCTGCTGTGGATGGTACAGCGCGGTAAGCTGAGCGACTTTCACTTTCCATGCTGCAGGGACCTGTGCCAAAATGTCCCTATGCGCATTTACGCACCACCAGCCAAATGAAAAAAAAACAATATTTATAATGTTCCAATAGGGATACTTCTGCTCCAATATTTCTATTTCATCCCCACTCAACACCTCTAAAATTCAGTAAGCCTATTTTATTTCATTGTCAAAAGGTGTAGGTCCCAATATTGCACATTATTTACAAAAGACCTCACCATCCACCTTAAAATGTGAAGTTCCCATTTCACGGTGTAAAGCATACAAGAGGGAATATGCATTCTTTTCTGGACAAACAGATTTATGTTTACATTAATGACCCCAAAGGTCACAGCCAGGTTACATCACTGCAGATACAGTCTACAAACAAACCACACTATACATTTCTATGTCCTGGGTTTTTTCTTAATCAGAATATTATTTCTTTCCCAGATTATCCAAACTGAAGAACCAGTGGATCAGGCCGACCTGTCACAGAGACTGAAACAGGCCAAACACAGCTGAGGGTCCAGCCGCAGTGCTTCAGGCCTCAGAGGAGAGTGGGCTTTTTATTTTTCCCGTTGCAAGGACTGTGATGTTTGCAAGGGAGCACTTAGGACAGACATGACGGATGTGAAGACAGAAAGACCACTGCGACTATGAATGTTGTAAAAACAAAATGAGCTCTGAGGAACTGCTCTGTTTTGAAACACCAGAGAGAGAAATGACAATTCATTCCACATTCCCTGTGACAATGTTTCACAGCAAATGAAGTATTTTGTATTTATTTTTTCTACACAGGCTCAAAATTCCTTTTCCCCCCACTCAAATAAAAGTTATTTATTTTTGGGATATCACAGAATGCTGAATGGATTTGGAGTCTGCGCATTTTGAGTGTTGTAAATATTTGGTAATATCTTGAATAAAGAACATGAAAGTATCATTCTTACCTCTCAGTTGTCTGGATATTCATTATAGACTTCAAGCTAAGCTCAATAACAAGAGGCTGAATAATAAATAATAAACTGGGCAATTTGAAAACCATCAGAGGAAGGCATGAGGGTGTTTTTATGACGCACAAAATTGGTTTTAAATACCTGAAATTCTTGGAAACAAACTCATGTCCCATAGTCTCAGTACTCCAAGCCTATGCAGGGAGTTTATTTTCATTGGTTGTTGCTGAATCCCCAGTTAACTAAACCACAGTGGAGGGGCCAAAAGAAAACATCTCATACCCGTGGCTTATTCTGTAGTGATTTCTTGAGCTCAGGGATCTGGGAAAGCCATAATTAGCTGGTGGTCTGTTTGAACAGGGTGAATGTGGAGCTGTGGGAGGCATGCATGATATTCCCAGATGTCCTCCGAGCCACAGGTCAGCATGGGAGTCTCCTGCAGGTGCTACAGCAGCTTTAACCCAAGAGCTCTATCAGATAGGAGAGGGAAATGCGGGTCATAAAGCAAACTGAATTGCCTGTGTCACTACATTATACCTGCAATCCTGATAAAAAAGAAGTACTTATTCCCATATGAACATGTTTAATGATAAAAACAAGAATTATAATAGAAGGTACAAGATGTTACACTCAAAACTGTCTTTTCTATAGTTATCAGATTCAATTTAATATTTCAAATTATTTAAAAATATATATGTATCTTAAGTTTAACTGAAATGAAGATGTGCTCAGGTTGTGCCACAGAAACAGAGCAGATGTAACAATTTCTTCATTAAGAACATATCAGTGTGTGTACCTATCAATCCTCTCGTAATCAGAGGGCCACAGATCACACATATTGACATGCAGGAAATAAGTCTTCTTGAGCAAAATCAGAACAGTCTTATCACTTTAGCCAACTGAGCTTTTGCACCCTTCCTGCCATAAATACTTCTATAAATACAAATATCATTTAATTTTCTGGACAGAGACAGGTCCTTGGATGTATTCAGGAAGGGTAGGACTACATAAAACCAGGACTAGAGGACTAGATAGGACCTCATTGCCTTTACTTGCCAAAAGCCCAACGTTTCCTTCCCTTAAATGTCTGTAAATATCTCATAATAAATGCTTAAAGGAGCAGTGTGTGAAACTGTGTCTGTGTGCCAAGCGTGAACTTCCAGTTAAGATTCCTGTAGCATTCATTGTCTGGGCGCAGAATTATCCACAGAGGTCTCCTCCTCTCCAAAACAAACAGACCAGGTGATTAAACTGGTAAAAATACTGAATAAAGCAGTTTCATGTTACATATTAGTGTTTCACTGACACTGTTCTACTCGTTGCAGAGGGGCGGCTAGTCCAGCACCTGCTAATGTGCGCTCCACTTTTTTCTCTGATACCTGAAGATCCAGATGTTCAGGAGGTTTTTACCACAAGCCGAATTATCTGCAGAGGTCTCCTCCTCTACAAAACAAACAGACCCGGTGATTTAAAGCTGTAAAAATACAGAATAAAGCAGTTTCACATTAAAATATGTGTTTTTCCGATGCTGTTTGGCTCACTGCGGAGGGGCTGCGACCTACAGTGGCTGGTCCGTTTTGGGCTACTGTAGAAACATGGTGGTACAACATGGCGGACTCCGTAGACGAGGACCTGCTCCCTATGCAGACAACGGCTCATTACGGTAACAAAAAAACAATTATTCTTATTTTCAGATGATTACACACTAAAGAATCAATATATCTCCCTAAATCCTACACACTGGACCTTTCAAGACCACACGGTAAAATACCGTTAAGTCCCCAAAGGAATAGGCTATAACAGGGATACTGCAATAACATCAGCTGCAGATGAAAGTCACTAAGATACACGTCACAGTGTGTTCTACATCTCTCCAATGGGGTCGTTGAGCGATGATTATGGGACCACTACGGTGTTTTTGCATCACCAGTTGCGTGCGGAAGGTAAAGCCATCAGCTCTGACCCGAGGCCCTCGCCTGCCACCGGGGGGAATTGATTCCCACCCTCAGATCACCGTGGCCGTGTTATCTTAAACTTGAGGCTGTTGCTCTGACACGGAGGAATGTCACCTCTGAGGCTTCGAAACACACATGAGCACACACACATATAGGTTATACACACACACAGGGAGATTTCTCACGCCTACCAAACAGGGAAATACATTCCAGAGACAGAAAGAGGGAGGGCTGGTGAAGGCTCCTGCAACTCAGCTCCTGCCCCTCTTTGATGTTGGAAGGTAAAGGGATGACCGCTTGTTATCAGTGTGAAGGCATCTGGCTCTCTGGATATAAGCGTGCTATGATAAACTCTTTGATGACTGACACACACACTCTCTCCCGCTCATTAATCACAGCTTATATCTCTTTGCTCTTTGCAGTCCTCAAACTCCTCTAAAAGTCAAAGGTGTTGGCCTGTGTGTGTTTTAATAATACCAGGAGCTGTAAATCTTTTGTAGAAATGGACTTCTCACGCCTCTGCACAGGCAGTGGGCCCATGTTGTTGATTGTTTGGCTGTTTAAACCAGCAGAGGCTTTCCTGTCTTGCCTCTCCTTTTACTTCTTTCAGCTCGCTGTCTCCCTCATTTCCATCTCTCTCTGAAGTTCCCCATTACAGGGTAACAAGAGCTGGTTTACATTAACCCTCAACACCACAGAAAGACAGGGGGGAGAGGAAGCTGGACTGACAGACACACACACACACACACACACACACACACACACACACACACACAGACTAGATTTGCAAGTCTGGTTTCCATTAGAGCTAATTATCTGTGTTTCATCTCAACCTGAAGCAGTTAGTGTGTGTAGCTGTAAGTGTATGTGTGTGTGTGTGTGTGTGTGTGTGTGTGTGTGTGTGTGTGTGTGTGTGTGTGAGTGCTAGCGTCTTTTTTTTTAATTTCTGCTCTGCTGCTTCTGACTCATGCATCTCAAATCAAGACGATCACACCTGAGGATATTCTCTGTAATGCAATGACACTCTGCTTTGCATATCACTGCAACCCCCTTCTCCACTTGTCAGTGCCGGAACAAACGATGACAGGGGAGCGTGAAGACAAGAGATACTGATTTGTTTTTGGTATACAGCAGAAATTGTGAGCACATTTATGTTGATTAAAGAGAAGGTGAATTCTCCTTTTCTAGTGCTTTTTGCCTTTTAAGTCTGTAATGTGCAGCGTACTGAATATGAAATCTTTGGTTATAGGAGGCGTCAAATTAATTTGGTGTGGGCATTTGAGAGGCAGGGTGGAGTAATAATGTGTTTGTCCTGTGTCTGATTATGCTTCTGGTGTTTGGGGTTTCCGGGAATACTCAAGTTGTAATGCTGTGCACTATAGAGCTATTCGATCTTTTTTAGGAGTGCATAAATTAACTTCAGTTTTAGCTATTTGTGGAGATATGGGATGGGAGCCTCCAAACATCAGACATAAATGTGAAATGCTTCGACTGTGGAACAGACTTGCAAGGATGTCAGATCAGAGACTCACTAAAAAGATCTGATCTGGGACATTTTACATGGTCATCCCTGTGCTAACGAGATGAAATCCTTATTTAATTTGAATGACTTTTCATTTATCTTTCATAACAGGTTACTTTGTAATATTCGGGAGTTAAAGAATAATATGTTTCTCAAGTATAAGGAAAAGTGGTCTGTCGATATATGGTATAAACCAAAATTACAAACTTACTGTCTCATAAAAAACTGTTATGATGTTGAAATGTATGTTAAGTATAATTTAAACAAAAGACAAAGATCATTATGTGCACAGTTACATTCATGAACATTACCCTTGGCTTTAGAGACCGGCAGGTTTAATGCCATTCCAGAGGAGGATAGACTTTGTCAGGTGTGTGAGCTCGGTGAAATTGAGAGTGAGGTCCATTTTCTGTTTTACTGTCTTGTTTATGAGGACTTGAGGGATGTACTTTTTATTAAAATGTCCTCTATTTATGCTGATTTCTTTTGGCTGGACGAGTATGAGAAACTTGAGTTGTGTTTTAGAAAGGGAACGTTTTTTGTTGCAGATTTTATTTGTAAAGCGTGGGAGAGAAGGCAGAATATTCTGTTTAAAGTCTGAGCTGTAAAAGGGGCTGTAATTATGTATGAAATGAAAAAAAATAAATAAATAATAATAATGTACACTGCAACTGTACTTTCTTTTTGTGTCTTATAAACCCATGAGGGTTGGGCACGTTGTGCATGACGTGTAAATAAAAATAATCAATCAATCAATCAACCAGTGAATTTCCACGATTCTTGATACTCATTTGATACCACGATAAAAATAAAAAAACAGAACTCATGTATTTCTAAATTCACTTCTTTATTAAAACTGTTTCAAACTTTGAATTTACGGATATGGTGACAGACAATTAGTCCGATAATAATCGCTTGAAACGCAACGCTAAGTAACGTTAAAGACAGTATCGTTAACGTCACATAATGTTATCCATCTATTACAGGGTAAGTTATAACGTAAGGTAGCGAGTACTGGTAGCCGCCCCTATAAACGCTGGCTCTGGAACCCAAATAATGTGATGCATATTTCAGGATAAGTATAACATAACACAAGTGATGGTAAATTGAAACTCACTCACCTTGAATTCTTTAAACAAGTCAGGGTGTCTGTCTTTTAAGTGTTCAGCCAGGTTTGAAGAGTTTCCTCCTTTGGTCTGGAAACTTCAGAGGCACTGTTTGCACACTGGTTTTTGCAAGTTTATAATTACTTATAAATGTCTCCACACATGACTCCTACTACCTGACTTTTTGACAAGTGGAGGTGTTGTGGCTCCAGCAGCACTTGTTGAAGCCATTGTTTCTAGCAAAGACGATGGAAAACAGGCGGTCTTCTTCTGCAATCGTCCTCGGCACAGACTGATGTGCGTATACTCCCCCCGTCAGTTCTGACAGGGGCCCGCTGAGGGCAAAGCTGTATCCGGTACTTACAGTACCGAAAAGAAAAACAGGTACTGACGTATTTTTTGCGTGTTGGCAT